TTTAATGCTGCAAAGAAGAGGGAACTGGGGGAAGGCTGATGTGGTTGAAGCAAAGGGTTAGGCAAGTGATTTGAGGGGCAGAGCACTGTCTGGATGTCAAGATACATTTCAGCAGGGCCAACGAAAAGAAGAATGATTGCAGTAATTGAGAGGAGAGCCAGTCAGTTCTTAGATATTTGGAAGAACAGGAAATTATTGTATTCACAATAATGAATCTGCCTGACCTAGATGTGGCTGCCTGGGAGAAGGTACAGAGAGAAATCTGCGTTTGGTGATCCATGGGTTGTTGGTCTGCCATACAGGTAAGATGTTGTAGTGCCCTCAGCGGTAAGGCAATAACATGGAAGAGGGATGTCATGGCCTTAAGCCATAGTGGACTTGCATTGTCAACTCTACCAGCATCTTTTTGCCAGTCTCACTAAGATCTTTTAAAAACTTTGAAGAACATGTGCAGGCAAAACAGACATTTGTCAGTCCTCAGCACAAAGATATTAACTGGATTTTTACGTTCGTCCAGATTGAAATAATTCAAAATAGGATGCAGAGGGAGAAAAGAAGGGGACCAAGGAAAGAGCTTTGTAAGGAACACCAAGAGCTAGCTGGGAACAGATTGGGAAAACTATGTGTCTCTTGCATACTATTTTGAAAGTAGTCTTTAGAATAGTAGGAACAGAATGAAGAGAGGCTCAAAATACTGAAAGTATATGGTCTTGGTAGAGCACCATTACTGGTACCAACAGCTGCTAGACCTAAAAGCTGTCTGGGTAGAGATGATTAAAGAAGGGGGAAATATGAACTGCAGCAGGTTTAGGGTGAGACTGGAGGGGAGAATCTCCCAACAGTGTTGGTAATGGCAGCCGTTAGAGATGAGGTTTAGAATGAGAGGGGAAAACAGAGTGAGGCAGGATCTAGAAAGTAGTGCTAGGAATGAGCAGTTGTGTAGGCTGTGAAGCCTATAGAAAAAAATAAAGTTATATTTTTGATAGCTATTTAGGATCCAAAAAGTGTGACTGCTTTTCTTTGTTCTCTTGCTTTTATAACTGTGTCATCTTTCTGTTTTGTGGTTGTTTAGGATCTGCCCTTTGTGAGATATTTTTGCACAATGTAGCTTTCAAAATCTTCCTTCTGTTTATTACTACCTCCGCCCTTTTTTTTTCCAAATGCCATCTATTTCATTTGAGAATTGTACCCTGGGGTGCTTCAATTATGTATGAAGGTGGAATATTTGGGATGTGCTATTCACAAGTGCTTTCAATATGCCATCTGAGCTTTGAATATGAGCAGAATCACTAATATTTTAGTTTCTAGGGCACATTCTCTTAAATGAGCAGTCAAGATGCAGCTTTTGTTCCTAAGTGCTCAGTATTTTACTCAGTCTCCGTGAGACCTTATGAACCTTCCACATGAGGATGATGAAAACATATTGGCTTGAATGTATCTGGTGCCGTAGGGCTGCCATAGATAGAGACGTGGTAGAATTGACCATGTTGTTGTTCTGATAAGAAAAAAATAGTTGAGGGATGACTAGATAAAGCTCCATTTCTGTCCCAGTACTGCAGGTTAAAGATCTTCAACCTGTAGTTGCCTCCTAAGACATATGATGTCGCATCTATAGAAGTTATCCCATTTGGTGCTGTAGATCAAATGGATTGGTAGCCACTAGAAAAAGATACACAGTGAAAGAGATCTCTGCAGATATTCAAGAAGCATTGCTTTGACTGTCACCTGCAGAAGAAGGAGATATTGGCTGCCAGAATCTCCATCTGTTATCCAGCAAGAGTTGTTCAGCCTGTACTTCTGAAGATATTTTGCTGTTGGTGCACATGGAAAGGGCACAAAGCTCTAATGCTGTCCCAGGGCAAACCAGAAAGTCTAGTGAATGGTTTAACAAACATTTTTGGGGAGCAGCTTCCAACTGTGACTGTGAAGGTCTTGTAGCCAATTTCTGGCAATTTGTGCTTTTTCTGCAGACTGCTGATTCTTAAATACTACTAACACATTACAGAAAAGAAGGGAAAGCTGTGGGAGGTAGAATGAAATAATCTGGATGAGAGGACAGGGAGAGGGGAAAGTAAAGGCCATATGGGATCTTAGGCATTTGCAAAGATAATTGAAGCTATGCCTTTGTCAGTTGTCCGTACCCAGCCACTGTTTCACAGCAGCCTTTACGCCTTCACGCCTTCCAACATTGTGCTGCTGTCATCCATCTTCCCAATAGAGCTGGACATGATAAAGCTTTGAATGATGCTTCTCCAAAACAAGAAATACTGTGCCAAGAACAAAGGCTGTTGTTGGATAGGCAAGTAACTGCCCAAGGAGAAAAGAAAGAAGTATATTTAACATTGAAGAAGGAGGGAAGGTTTAGCAGTGTGTGTGGATGTTTGAGTAAAGGGCGCTGGGGAGGTGAACAGAGCAAAGGGAGATGAGAATCACAGCCAGGTGCACAGGGAATTCTGCTAACAAAACCTGTGGAGTTTGTAGCATCCTACTATGAAAATAGGGGTACCTCAGTGGACAGTTGCATGATGGGCATGCTCTTTAAAGTAGCTGCTTGCAGACACATACCAGTCCACAGTGAGGGACAAGTTGGCACACCAGCAGTGCCAGAAGACTGTCTCATCCCTTAGAGGGACAGCACTCTATAAGGAACATGGAGTGAGCATGGTGCAGCAGAGATTTCTGATTGGCTAAGACTTATTGGATTAGGAGACACTTTTATAGACTCAGAGAGATTCCTGCTTTGTTTTCAGCTCAACTGCTAATCCAAGGTCAAAACTAATTGTCCACATCTTCTGTCTTCACTGCCTTGTCTGTAGATTTTAAGAATTTGATGTGTGGTCTCTGTGCTGACATACTAGTACCCTAATCTTAATTTTGTTGCCAATAATCATGAAACACCTTTGCTGTAAATTTGGAACAATCTGCCCTTTGAATGCATTCCACTGTTAAGCTGCTCTCTGAATTCCTGATTAACAACCTAAACGACTTATCACAATTAGCTAGTCCTCAGCCTTAGAATTGGGGAACGCACAAATTTGATAGCTTTCAAAAGTAAGTGGAGCAGGATCAGGGAGTCTACAAACATTTCTGCCTTTGTCCTCATCTGGAAGCTGTTTCTATCAAAAAGGGGATTTAATTTTTTTTTTTAAGCACTGTGTATTTAAGACTTCCTTTTAATACATGCTCTATTTCTTTTTGGAATTAGTGCACCTTTGTCCTTGCACCAACTTTGTTCTTTAGCATGTCAGTACCTTCAAAATACAAATTATGTCTCATTTGTCAGAGATTTCATACATAACAGACTGATGAAGTCTATTCCAAAATGCATGAATTGCTAGAGAATATTACATAAAATATATATAGAATGTCAGTGCTGGGAGATGCACCATCTAAAATAGGGAGAAGCTGTTTAATTGAATTTTGTTCTTCTCTAAGATCATTGAGTTACAAATTCCTAGGAGCACTACTGCAAACATGAGCATTTTTGTTCTCTGAGCATTGCAATGAACTTTCATTTATAACAGGGTGTGTGTAAGAGAAATAGGCTATACAGGAAAGCAAAGCTGCATGCTTTGCATGGTTGAAGTTTCAAACAAATTTAGCAAAGTTGTTGTGGATACATCACTCCAAAAAACAAGGCAAAATTCCTTTTTCCTGCCCTTGAATACTGAACATGTTTCAGCTTTTTCTCTGACAGGTAAAATTTTCTGGAATTCATAAAACTTTTGAGTACTGCAGAGCCAAAGTCACGAAGGCAGGCCTGTGAAATTTTTTCAGAAGATTTACATTTGTGTGTGTTTTTAAATCTTTCCAAGTTCCATGGTGTTAGAGTACTGTTTGAGTGACTGAGCAGTGTCTGCTGCTTCTCATTTTTCTTTACAGCGGGTTATTTTTGCTGACTCTTAGAATAAGATGAAGGTTGGATGCCTAGCTGGCTTTATTGGGTGTTGAACTTTGGTAAAAGTTATACTTGTAAAATACTGTCATTGAAATAAAATGGGAGTACAAATGTGTACAAATTTGTATACAAAGGAAGGGTTACATATTTTCTCCCTCTGCATGGCAATGCAGGAGACTCCTCTCCTGGAGGGGTCTCTGGTACTAATGAAGCAATAGCTTGACTTGAGTGCTCTTTCAGTTGTTGGGACTGTGTTTGGTTAATTATAGTTGCATTACTAAGGGGTCAGTGTTCCTGCACTCCAACACAAACGTGTCCACCTACAGCTGATGGTGACAGCTCTTGAGATGCATAGCCCTGTGGACTGACTGTAGCAGGGTATGTGCTAAAGCTCCTGCAGCCTGCTGCGAGACAGGCATTTCCCTACTAACCACAGCGTATTGTGCTGTACCCAGCATCCGGTTCAGTCTGTTTTGGTGGGTTGTCTCCAAATCATGATATAAGTAAAGAATCTAAGAACTAGCACTGTGCCTGGAGCGTTTGATGAGGATGTTCTGGCTGGTTGGGTATGCGTTTAGCTGGCTCCTCTCATTTATGGGGGTGCAGACACACTTTCATCACAGCCTGACAGTTGCTGCCAATGGGAAATAAATCTGAATATTAATGCAGTGAAGGTAATGGGCCATTTCCTTCTGGTCATCTTGTACTGGCCTTTCGTGAAACTGAAGTTCCCATGCTCTCCTTTTGCTGACAGCATTGAAGCCTACACAGATTCAGTACAACACATAATCTCAATTATGACTGGAGTCTTTTCCTGCCAAGCAAACAATTTTCAAACTGCGCAACAGTGAGAGGAGCCTCAGGAAGTCCTTAAGATGAGGTGAAGGATGCTGTATTTATTGGTAACTGTGCCAGCTAACCTGAGGTGGTTTTAAAGCAACAGCCCCTTGAAAGGGACTTTAATCAGCATTTTATAAAAAGTGTCTGCTGCCTTGATTTTCAGCTTGTCTCACATAGAGCTGTATAAGTATTTTGGGAGTTGCATCTGCTCTCTCTGGATTCCTTATAACCTTCTGACTTTTCTTACCATTTCTTATTTAAGATTTATGTCCATCTCAAAGAAGGGAGTGGTGCCGATGGGCTGGATGCTTTAAAGAACAAACCGCAGCTTCACAGTATGGTGGCTAAAAGCCTTTGTCAGAACGCCTCTGGGAAGAACTACATCATCTTCACAGGCCCAAGCATTACCAGCCTGAATCTCTTTGAAGAATTTGAGAAGCAAGGTGTGTATTGGGTGACTGACTGGGTTTTAATGGTGGCAGACCTAGATACCTCCTGCCACTGAATTTAAAAAAATTTCCTAAAGTCTTCACTGATATTTTGATTCTTTGTATAGGTAAGTTGTTCATCACTAAGAAATATTCTCATTCATCAGAAGGTACTATACAGAGGACTTTCTAAGTTGTTCTTTAAGTCTTATGCTTTAAGTCTTCAAAATGAGGATGTAAAACACATTTTAAATAAGATTATTTAAAGCCCTTGCTTTTATCCTTTGCCTTAGAAATGGGAGGTCAAATCTATATGGCCTGGGGGACTTTTCAGTAGATCTCCTATCTGCTTGTGATTTTTCTGTTCCTGTTGTGAAAGACTATGGGTGGGATGAATCCTTAGGGATGTACCTTAGAAGTCTTTGTTGGTTTAATATCTGTTGGAGATATAACTTCTCTAGATGATATTCTATGCCACTGCAAAAGCCCTAGAAAAGTGGAGATTTGTTTGTTCGGGTTTTTGTTTGTTTGTTTGGGTTTTGTGGGGGTGGGGTTTTTTGGGTTTGTTGGTTTTTTTGTTGGTTTTTTTTTCATGGTATCAACATACCTTGGTAGGACAGTTTTTAGTTTTGGAAGCATAATAAACTCTACATTAGCAAAAGCACACCTGCCAGCGGAATGACGTCTCTCCCAGCAACTTCCATGCTAGTGCAGAGTAATCCCAGGTCATCCTTTATGTCAAATCCCCCCTCACCTTGGACGTGGAAAAGCCACGTGTTGCTGTACTTTCAGCAATGCTGAGGACTTGTGACTCTCCTTAAATTACAGAACTGCACTCTTGCCAATCACTTATAAGTCATTCCACGTAACTCTTGGCTCATTCTTTGGTCATCATGGCCTTACAGAGTTGATGTGATGTGTGGAATAGGTCCTTCATAGCAGTAGGGCTGAAGGCTGCCAATATGCATCACAGCGAGGCCATTTCCTGTTTCAACACACCACTGATGCCCAAGTTTTGCTTTTGGCATTGCAGAAAATTAAACTCACGCAAACCATTATATTAATGAAACATGGCCGAAAGCGGGGGAAGGTCTGGGAATTGAGACAATGTGTTGATTCTTATTTAAAATGAGAACACCAGTGAGCTGCACCAGTGCTGTAGTTGAGTGCTTCAGACTGTGCTGGCACTGAGGGCTGTCTCTGTTGAGTTCCATGCAGGACTTAGCTCCTACATTGTTTTAGATAAGCTGAAACCTCACTGAGTACAGTGGAATACCTGCATATTCTTGTAAAAGAGCCATGGTTTCCTAAAGGCTGCAAACAGCCAAATGGGAAAGAAGTCAAGCATATTTGTAGCACACTGGAGTTTTTCCTCTGAGCAGAGACTGATCTTTAGTAAATAGTTTTTTACAGCTGATTATAAGCATTACATTTTTAAAACTACTAAATCAATGATGCAAAATGTGGGTTTAAAAAAATGGAGAGAATAACACACATACTCCTAGTACCTGAGATTAAATTTTAAGGTTTAAATACAAAGACTGACAGACAAAAACTTGACTGTTGAGTTGCATCCTTTATGCTCAGCTAGGGAAGGATAAAGAAAATCTGGTGTGATCCAGTTGATCTGTAACCCTGGTGAAAAAGATGCATGGCTACTAAACCAGCTGAATGTTTATTACTTGCAGATAATTCAGATTGTTCACAGGGTCGAATTATTCATGAGCTTTACACTGCCCAGATCATTCAAATTAATGGTTTCTAGCGGGTAACAAATTCAGTAATGTCTTTTTAAAGCATGTAATTTTTACTTACTATCTGATCAAATATGCTAATGCAATACTGAGATTTTAGTTTGGTTCATGATTTGTTATATAGCTTCATGAGACTTTATGATCTTTGACAGCTGCCTCCAAAATTAAATTTCAGATCTAGTACACACTATCACCTTCCTAGGGGTGAAGTTATGAGGTGGGTGGGGGGTTAACAGTAAGACAGCAGGTTTATTGACTTTGCAAAATAGCATGGCACTCCTATATCAAGAAGATCATGGGGAACAAAGCATTTCTGTTTAATAAGGTGATGGGATTGTCTGCATTTGCCAGGAGTTACAAGGGGCTAGCTCAGAGGTTTTGCAGGGGGATGTTGAACTGGAAAGACTCTGAGACACTGGGAGAGGTGAGATGCTTGACATGCCAAGCTGTGGTGAAGTCAGTAAGAGCCTCGGAGGAGATGGTGTTTATTGACTCTCTGCAAAGCAGATGGTGTATTGCCAGCACCTGCTGGGATTCTACTGCATTGGCAGGACACTTGGGAAGAGGCAAGCAAAGAAGCCTGGTCTTGACAGAGAGATCTCTCCTGATCTATCAGAGTAAGTCAGTGTTGGGGTTTTCTGGTAGGTGGCTTAGCCATCTAAATCTGAAAAGGGCCAAACCGTGACCAAGATGTGTCATGAGAGCCTGTTGAAAAGCAACTATGCTCAGGTGCTCATGATAGTTCAACACAATTCTTAAACTGATGAATTTACGTTTTTTTGTTAAAGAAAATTTAGTTTCTGGGCTAAAGCAGGATCAGCAGTAGAAAGATCTCATGGGGAACTGAAAAAAAAATTGATATTATCTTAACTGCTTTATTGTTTGGGGTTTCTGTGGCTTTTTCTCGTGACTATCAAGAGAGAAATAGGGGAAGCTCATGCTTGGAAGCTATAAACTTTCTGGGAACATAAAAGTTTAAGGGAACTAAAGGGAATTCTGGAAAATCTAGAAAGAATCACCCACTAAAACTATATTAGTTCCTCTCAAAATTCTTGATGAAAAAGAACCTGGGGTCTTGGTAGCTAGTGAGCTGAACATGAGTCATCAGCATGCCCTGGCAGCAAAGTTGTTCAACACTGTCCTGGGCTCTGTTAACAGCAGCCTGTAGATCGAGGGAGCTGATTATTGTCTCCTACAGTTTTGGACAACATGCCCCCCAGTAGAAGAAAGGCATTGATAAACTGGAGTAAGTTCAGCACAGGGCCACCAACCTGACCAGGGGCTGTACTACAGGCTCTGCTGTGGGGAGGGAACTGTTCTTGTTCAGGTTGGGAAGAGGCTTTGTGGGAATTCAACAGCAGTCTTATGCTACCCTATTGAGAGAACAGAGAACACTCTTTACAGTGGTGCATTGTGGAAGGACAAAAAACAACAGACATAGGCTGAAACAAAAGATGTTCAGGCTAGATGCAAGGTTTTTCCTGAGGGCAATGAAGCAGGATGTCCAGACAGGTTGTGCAGTCTCTGTCCTTGGAGGTTTTCAAGCCCAGACAACATAAAGCCCTGAGCAGTGCTGTCTGGCCTCAGAGCTGACCCTGCTCTGACAGGCGATGGGACTAGAGACCTCCCAAGTTGCTTTTCAACCTGAATTGTGCTTTACTCGATTGGATTCTGTGATCCGATAAAAACTTTTGTGGAATCTTAACTATCATTCACTTTCCCTAACCCTAGCCTCCACATGATAAAAACACAGTGTTCTTTATTGAGAGCCTGCTGTGTAGCATCTTCACTGTACCACACTAGATAATAATGTGCCTAGTAATATAAAGAGATGTCGGTGAACATTATTGTAAGATCTATGAAGATACCAAGAACTGAGAAAACTTCAAAAAATAAGACAGAACACTTTGATCTTTTTCCAAATCAAAAACCTGAATAGACCTCTTTTTTGTTTTTCAAGGGATGTACAAAGAATTTCTTTCTCTGGCTGCTGAATAGAACTGGAAACCTGCACTGAAATGCCCCAGATTCTCTGTTCTGCAAGCAGACAGCTGTCACTGCTATTCGCTGTGACATTCATTCATAGTGCATGTCCCTTTTTCCCTCTCCAACCATTGGTGGTGTCCTTTGTAGAGGACAGAACCTCCTAAAGCCCCGTGTCCCATGTTTCCCTTAAACAAATGATTCCTGGAAGTCCCTTTTGCACATTCTGAACCAGGAGAAACAGCTGGCTTTGTCCTGCAGAGGGGCTGGTGTTGGCAAAGCTGCAAGCTTTGTTCTGGGTGACCATGGCATTCCCACAAGCTTTGCAGGATCCTGCAACTCCAGCACATGGACTAAAGCAAGCTCATTTCTCCACCCCACAACAACCCCCCCCAGCTTCTGACTTGACCCAGTGTTTCATGCAAAATAAATGATTGCAGAATGTGTATTTTTGCCATAATTAGCACGAGCCTGATGTCCTTTGCGAATGGTACTAGTGAAGATGTGGTGAAACAGGCTCTCTGGGGACTGGTGACTCTGGGAATGAGTTTTGGTGACTACATCTACATTTCCTCTTCTTTGCTAAACTGTCTTAGGTTTATTCATTTATATTGCACTTTCAGTTTAAGAAGTCCAGAGAAGGACAACCTGTCTCCACTGACTCCCATGTGTGTGGCAAATACCTGTTGTGATTCTGATTTAATTACACACAAAAACTTCATTGAGCCAGATGGGCATAATTTTTATTGCTTCTATTGCCATAGTAACTGGGTGGTTTTAAAAAATTCTACAGATTAGGGGTGTCATCCATGATGAGAGATGCTAGTAAATCTGCAGAAGTGCTGCACTTTTCTAGGCTATACAGCAGGAAGGTTACACAATGTGTTCCTGAGAGAGAAAGTGGTTCCCATTATTCTGTATGAAGAGTGAAACATCTGCTGGAGGCTTTTTGCAGGCTTATTGCTACAATAAAAGGAAAGGCTACAATTAATTATTATGGGCTCTCAGAGGTGGCTGTTGCTGTTTTGAAACTCTACCACAATAATGTAGTTATTAGCTTGGTTTTATACCATTACGGTCTGCTGGAGAAAGTATCATGTTTCAGTGAATCATAAACTTTAGGCAGCTAAAGAAATTCTTCTCAGGCTCGCTTGTTATCAGAGCAGGGATATTGGCTAGAAGAAAGCTTTCTAAAAGTTAGCTATGTTAATGGCAAAGTTTGCAGGTACGTGACCTGCTGTTCGCGTACCTCAGCAACAGAAGACATTAAAAAAACCCACCTTTATATTGATTGTTGTCATCAGGCTTCTCTTGCTGTCTTTTGTGGAAGGAACTTACTGATTTCCAGGGACTGATTCATTCATTAGAAATAACCAATGGAGTGCAGGTTTCCTCCTTGAGGATGAAGTTTCCCCATTGCCGTGTTAGTTACCATTTCTGACATAAGTGGCTTAAATTTCTGATGGAAGAGCCATAGCTCCTTGTAGATCGGCCCACAGCAACTGGACTAATTAATGACTGTTTTTGATTATTTTATTGGTATTCCTGTAGTATCTGTGAGCTGTTGAGGGAATGCTCAGCATGCCAGTCAGTGTATGAACCAAGGACAAAGGCTTCACCTGCACTCAAGAACTTAGGTCATTGCAGAAAGACAGAGGCAGAAGAGCCACATAAAAGGAAACCCAAGAACAGAGGTAATGTGTTTAGGGGAAGCCAGACACTGTATTCTGACTTTGCGTTTCCTCTGTAAGGATACCATGCAAAATTTGGCATGATGGAAAATTTGATCAAGCAGACTTAGCTGACAGATGAGCTTCAAACACCACAAGATGTGCACAGATGTCACCTGCTTCCATGCCCGTTGTTTTTTTCCACTCAAGTGGGTTAACATAAAACTGAGGGAGATGGTGGAAATTTCCATCCAAGATTTCCTTGGAAAAATTTGATCAAGATCTGCTTCTCTTGAACAAACAGAAAGAGGCTGTTATTATTTCGCAGCCTAATGACAAATTCAAGCATTGTTATTAATATTGTTTCCAAATCTTGTTTGTGCCCACCTGGCTACACTGAGGTGTGTTTTGTGTTGTTAGATTTTATTCATTGCCTCTTTCACAGGCCAAGAAGCTGTGAGCAGCAGACTGTGTCGCCTGCAGAGCCTATGATGTCTGTGCAGGACAAGATCAGTGTTTGCTCAGCTAGGGCACCGCATGGTTTATCTCCTTTCCCTAAAATCAGTTTTCACTGAACTTGTATTTCCTTCTTCTCCATCCTTCTGGCATACGCATTTTTAAAATCAGCCAGTGGTTTCAGTGTTTTTTAACCGCTTAAGCAGCATTTCCTTAGTAAACCAGATGATACAGGCGCAAGGGGTAATGAACTGAAAATGAGGAACTTGGCAGCACAATGAAAGCAGTAGATTAAACCAGAGTTTGTCACCTATGTATATTGTGATTAAAAGCATCATGGGAGTCATGTAGGAGAATTCATTTCAGTTATCATCTTAGATGCTATAGCTTTCCCTACCTCTCTGCTCCCTCCACAATTTATTCTCTTAGCTAAACATCAAAGACTCTCTGGGATAATAAATTCTGATTTGTCCCATAATGCGTATCACCATTGGAGTTTTTTTTCAGACCTATTTTAAACATGTGAAGACTATTACACATATTGTAGATGTTATTGCTAGGAAGATACCCTGAATTATTTTTCTTGTCATTTCATCATGACTGTGCAGGAGGTGTGAATACATTTAATCAAGAGAGCAGACTTTCTGCACTTGTCTCTGTTTCCAGAGACATTAATACAGGACACAAATCTTTGGTATTACAGAAAAAAACCAGTTGGCTGACATATCTGTTTGACTAGAATGTTGTAGGGCAAGTTCTTTCTCTATTTAGGTCACTCAGACTTGCTCTTCTGTTTTTGCTCTTTGGGTCCATGCAATGAGGGAATATGTTTGTTCATATGCAGAGATTTACTGCTGTGGGTTGCTGAGCACCAGGAAGAGTGACTGCACAGGCCTACCTCCATCCATGCTGAACAATTCTGAAACTCCACAGTCCAGAGGGCAGTACAGAATAAGAATGAAGGGAAACATGTCCTTGATCTGCTGGTACAATAAAGGGCACTTTCGTTTTCTGACCAATGCCTATTCACCGGTTCAACAAGGTAAGCAATATTCCTACTTCTCATCTCAAAAGCACACATGCTTTATGTCACAAGGCAAAATGAGTCACTGAGTTTGATAATAAGCCTGAACAAAGAGCTTGATCATAACTGGTCATAACATTCTAGATAAACAGTAGCAGTAGTGATTCCCTTTTGTGTCTTCCTACAGCTGTTCTTTTTTCCTATACAAAGGTTAAAAGCCTACTGCAACCTCCTTTGCCTGAGCTGGTGGAGGCAGTATCCTTTCAGGTACAAAGATTATATCTTTGCTGATGGTCAGAGAAGGGAAGGTGATTATATAAGACTATATAAGACTTACATAAGACTATATAAGACTATACTAGCCCCATTTGCAAAGCATCTTCTAGGATCGCTGCTAAAGAAAAATTAATAAATGTCATGATGTACTTAGAACTCTGAGCAGATCCTACAATTAATTTATCTTACCCAGTAAAAACTTAGTCACAAACAAACATCTTTTTGCCAGAAGTAAATATGATTAAGGTTTCCTGTTGTATGTTAAATTGATTTTAGCAGTTGATGAAAAGAAACCAAAACAGATAATTTGGGTAGTTCAAATAATGGCAAGAGAGCTTCTTGCGACTGAAATCTTTTCCTTTTTGAAAGTATATAGATGGTATTAAGAATGTTTGGAAACTTCTGTTAAATGCCATATGACTAGCTAACTCCTTAAAATTAGTTTTTCAGTGAAAATATTGTTTCAGTTTCTTATAATTTTTATTATTCAGATTTATGTATAACTGCTAGAAACAAATAAGAATAACCTAAACCTTTAAATGTAAAGCCACCATTCAAAGACACCTTCTACACTCATTTCTGAATCCCAAGCAACTCTCACATGCGTGTACAGACTATGGAAGCAAAGTTAATGCCAAAAATGACTGTATGGTAAGCTGAGAAGCTGACTTAGTGTGTTGTTCAATGCCTTCCCAGGAGGCTTATTACCTTAACAAAGCGTGGCTCATCCAGAGGAATTCTGCTGGGCACCCCAGTGGAGTGACAACTTGGTGATTCAGATGGGCTGGTGTCTGAGCACAATGCTGAAAATATGTGAAGGAAATACAACACTTTGGAGACCCTGCTAAAGTCAGTCCCTGGAACAGTGTTACTTCCCATGAGGGGCATTCACTATCAGGATTTGTGCTGTTTTCCTTGTGCATTTTGCTGATTTAGATTATTCAGCTGCACTAACTGGACAAGAGTTATCACTACATGTCACCTGTTTTTTTTATAGACAATCATGGAGCATTTGGTTATAATTCATAAATATTATTAGAAAAATACTCTGTAAACATCAATGTTAACTGGCCCATTAAAAGGGGCAGCAAAAGCAAACTGTCCTTACAAGGAGCACTTGGAGGTGTGAGCTGTTGTGCTTGTGATTGACCTTGGGTCTGTTTTGGCATAGATGGGATTGTAGGCTCTATGTGTGAGGTAGTTTAACATCCACCAATTAGGACCCCTGTGTGTGATGGACAAGGCCTGCCCAATACATTGCTCACCAAATGCTGGCTGGGACAGTTGATATAGTTCACAGTGAATCAGAGCAGAAAACAGAGACTGGCTTTTTAAAGAGTGATGCTGGGGAAAGAGAGTCTCTAGCGAAGACTTGGGAACAGATGGAGACTCAGTGGGAAGGCAAGAGACCAGATTGCTGCCTCTGATTTGGCATCTCTAAAGTCAGTGTAGCAGAGCTAGTTTAAGCCAACTTGAAGCTGGACCACCAAGGTCTCCTCTAAAGCGTGTAAAATATAGAGGAGGAAGGGGAGGAATGTATGCTCCTTGAGGCAAGCCTCTAGTGTAGACCTGCTGAGCACATGTGTTAGATGGGAGAGAAGGTAGGGACAAAGGGGATTAAAACCCATGCAGGGTGGTTGAACTGAGAGTGGCGCCAGTGGGATTGACTGGTGATGCATGGTGTGTGTTTGCACTTGGTTGAGCATAAATGTTTGCAGGCTGCAGGAGTCCATAAGGAGAAAACCTTAAAAACAGAAGGCAAGAGATGGTCAAAAGAACACGTAGGATAAGAAAAGGGGTGGACATAGCTAATAATTAGCTATTTATTGCAATTCAGAGGAAAGTCAAGAAGGTACTTGCCTGTATTAGGAGTGCAAATCAGCCAGAGCCATCAGGAGGGCAGTACACTTGTGAGAGCTGATCTAGGAATACTATTCTTAGATGCAGCAGGTTATTTGTTATGGATGTTTTAAACCCACATGTCATAATGCATCATCTCAAATACTAAAGGATGAGTCTCATTCCTTTAGTCTTGCAAAAATATCCTCCTTTCTCTGCTATCAAGTATGTAGTTTCTGCCTAGAACAAAATCTGATTGAGTTTTTAATTTCCCTTAAGCTTTAAATTGAGTTTAATTTTGAGTTGTACCTGTATTGTAGAAAAACTGAGAAGTCAAAAGAGATTGGGACCTCTAGAGAGTAAAACGTTACCCTTATTCTTAAGCAGGTGATCTATGTGCTGGCCCAAACCTCCCCATCTGTGGGACAAAGCTGCATTTTTGTTTTTTCACTCTAGATCTGGTGCCCACTTCCCTAGCATCTCCATTAGTACCTTCTAGAAATGTCTACAATATTTTCTATTTTTCATATGTAGCAGGATGGAGCACACAGCAGCCTCACTTGCTGCACAGCAGGATGACCAGAATAATGTCTCTATCAAAAAACTGTTGAACCCAAGATCTTTTTAAGAAGTATCTTCTTTCTGAGAATTGTCACAGGTGCTCCACCAACTAGCTCTACTTAAAAGCTAAACAGACAATAATTGAGGGTAGAAAACAAAGCTTGGGCCACATATGCAAGGACTAAAGAGCTGCAAATGGAGTGTTGGCATCTCACAAGTGACTTGTGAGAAGATGGGAGGTGCTGTGGAGCCATCACAGTTGTATGAAGCAGTTGTTTAAGTCCCTGTGTGGTTCTTAGCCCAGGAGAAGCTGAGGGGTGTCTGGTGACAGTCTAGTTTCCTGAAAAAATCAGCTTTTAAGATTGGCCCAGAATTGGGAAGTCTGGGGAAAGAAGCATAATGTTAAAAAGTATGTTTCAGGATGGATGAGCTTAGGGTTTCAACTTCACATTTCCATGTACCCTTTTGATCCTACAGTCAGGAGGTTGTGTCCCATTGTGCAATGCTGACTGTCTGCAATTCTGATCAAGAACTGTAACAAATCAAAGTCCTGATAAAAAGCCATATAGCACTTGGATCATGCGGTGTTATATTGTTATGAAATCTCAGTGTTTGCCAAGTTGGATGCAAGTGCTGGTATTAATTAGACTCACATTTTAAAAAAAAACAACTCGTGATTCTTGTAAAATCACAGATAGGCTTAGAAGTGTTTTGAGGAAGCAAACATATGTCTCAACAAACCTTTGTCTTTCTCCTTGTTTCATTTGGAGTGGTATTTCCCAAGCTTTGCTTGATGAGCATACAGTCTAAAATTTTAAATAAAAAGGAAAAAGGGTTTAAAAAAAACCCAAAAGCTGATGCCTTCCTAAGGTGACAGCATGGAAGCCAGAAGCTGGCAGCCCTTCCAGCATGGAGGCAAAGGCAGGCTGTAGCTGCAGCGCAGGCGGTGCATTCACTGGAGTGCTTCCAGGGATGGGAACACAGCGATGCTGGGGGAGGACCACGAGGGGAAACAACTCATCAGATGTGCCGGTGAGTCAGCTGGCTTGGGGCTGGCTTTGGACCGCTTGCCACAGAGACCTGCAGCCAGGAATGACCCAGCTCCAGCAGTTGTCTTCCATGGGGAGGTGGCATATGGCCATGAAACAAGGCTAGGAAAGGCCAAAAAATAGTGTGCCTATGAAGGTATTTCTATTCTCAAAACAAAGGAATGTTATGTGGAATACAATAGAAAGTGAGAGGGAATATATGGTACCCATATAGCTGCCACTGCAATACATTCTTTTAAGGATTATGAATACTAAGCAAATTGCAAAGGAAATCCGAATCTCCAAAGGAAGAGAAAGGGAAGAAAGAGAGGAGAGCAAGAGAAGAAAGAAGGGGATTTTATTTTTTTTTTAAAACACTGGTACCAGAACATACTTGTCCTTTCCTGAACTGCCCTGGTGGGATGGCAAGTGATTTTGTGGCACTGATGCAGCAGGCTGGTGATGTATCAGTCCTCTTTACCTCATGCTGGTCAGATTTTGTAGGACTCATTAAAAGGATCAAAAACACACTATAATAATTATGTGAATGTAATGAAGGATTTATTTATTTGATTGTTCCTTCCCCTACTCCTCTCCACTTGAGCTACATTTATACCCAGCTTGGGTGAGGCAGAGGTGAAAGGAGAGTGCATTGAACAATTTAGAGGTGATATCATTTTGGACTCTTGAAAAATCAGACTTTAAAGACCCCAAATAAGTTGCTGCATGGCTCAGCTGTAACATGACATTTAGTATGTGTCACAAGTCTTGCTTCAAAGTAGAGTCTGCCAACTAGGACAGCACAGGGGGCTTGGCAGAGATAATAGATGGAATGAGACTTCCAGTTGAAGGAATGAAATGATGAAGTCTATAATCAAAATGTGAGTAGCATTTTAGGGATGATTGTAAAAGAGTTGGCAGAAAGAAGGCAATGAAAGGTTTTTTTGAAGGCCTGAGAAATGAGAAAGCCCAGAATTGTACCTGTACTGAAACAATGCTGAGAAAGGATGCAACGAAGCCTATGCTTCTCTAAACCAGGAGAAATTGTGCTGGTATATATAGGGAGACAGTACGGATCCTCACTAGACAGTGCCATAGAGATGGAACAAGGGTGGTCCACACCTTGGAGAGTTGACCATTGAACCCTTTGGGGACATAAGTCAAAAGTTAGGGAACAGACTCCTATACTGTAAGTTGTTTTAATCACCCTTCCCTCCTACAAGGAGCGTCCCCCAGGAGTGGAGAAGGAGGACAGGAACAGTAAATCAGAAAATAGCTAGGAGAGTTTCTTAGGAGAGCTACTGCTGTAGTGTTGAATAAGGCCAGGTCAAAGATAGACCATGTGAGGGAACGGGGCCCATTTTTGGAGTAACCTGCTCTAGGCATCACATCATCTTTGTCAATGCAGAGAGTGGTTCATAGGTGGCTGCAGGTGACCTGTTGCCTTACCACGGACTTCTGCAGTAGGCAGCATAATCGTCCCCCATGATGAGCTGAATTACCAAGCCAGCTGACCAGGCAGGGCAGGGAGCATCACTCGCAGGCAGATGCCTGCTCCACCGACCAACCTAAGTGTACATCTGAGCTCTGGCTCCCCACAGCAGGAATCAGGCTGCTTTCCATTTCAGAGATACTGCGTGACTCCTTCAACTCACATAGTAGCATCACCTCTGTCTTGACTGAGTTTATCCAGTTGACTCCTTCTTATTGTATTTTCTCCTCTGTGTCAATTAGCATCTGGAAAAGTGGAGGTAATGTTGCTCTTGGCCCCCGTGGGTGGAGATAAGTGAAGGATTTAATGTCAAGGGACTCATTTGGGACTTCAGAATTCAAAGTATATAACAGCAGGTCACCACTCTAGAGGTGACCACAACTTATTGTGAACCAAAAAAGGAGAGACTAATACTGTCTGTAAGGGGCTACTGTGGAACTACAGCAATGTATGCTTTTTTCTGAATGTATGGCAAAGATGTTTGTGTCTAACCTCTCTTCATTTCCAGCTGAAAAGTGATCCCTCTTCTTCCCCTTCCACTTGCTCAAGGTATTACCAATGGGAAAAAAAAAATCAAGTGAGCATCTCTGTTACAGATAACTTCCCAGTATTAGGGCAAAAACTGTCAATAAGGTTTATTTTATGAAAAACTGTAAATAGAAACCATATCTTTTAATTGCTAGACTTATGATGTTAATTTGAGACTGTTATGTTTCTAATTGATGCAGGAGTTATAATTAAGAGAAAAAGTGGAGAAATTCCATGTCCATTGGCAGTTGAAGCCTTTGCTGCTCACCTTAGCTATATCTGCAAATATGATGACAAATACAGCAAGTAAGTAAGAATATGTGCATGCATGTGTGTATTCCTTTCACACCTTCTCTCTTGCTGCAATATTTGAGTCCTCCATGTTGAGCTGCAGCTGAGGGCCCAATCCTGCTTTCACCGAGTCTCAGACAAAACTTCAGTTTAAGTCAAAGATCAGAAGCTGGCTCTGCACAAGGCTGTTGTTTTGGCTCTATCTCCACATCCACCAGTCAAAAAGAGATGTTGAGACATAGGTCCTTAGCATCTTGTAAATGAGTTTTGAGAAGTGTTGGGAGGATAAGCCAGTAAGCTGATGTTCTTGGCCACATCAAATTGAAGGCTAAATAAAGAATTCAGCAAGGGTCTACTAGCCCCAGAAGTCTCTCAGGCTAGCTCAGCTCTCCACCTCTAGCAATAGATGGTGTTTACTTGATTATCTGTCCTGGTGATATTTGTGTCACCTGGAGCCAGAAGAAAAAAGACATTCAGTTGTGCCTGTAAACCTGATCTACATGATCTGAGAGGGCAGAATGTAGAACTTTTGTCTTCTGCATTCCAGTTGGGGTCTTCAGTGTTAGCTCTTAATGTAGCAGGGAGAAACAGAAATGAGTAAGAGTAGCAGTGGTGAGGCTTGGTTGTGGGAATAGTGATAAAGTGCAGAAGATTTCAAGAACTAAAAACTGAAGAGAGAGAAAGAGCAGCACGGATTTTTAATGCCAGTTCTGGGCAAGGTAGCAAGAATTCAGTAGAATATATGAAAGAGGAGAAGGTGGTTGCTGGAGAACGGTACTGGGATCTGATCTGAGGAAATCAATACAGAAAAGAGCTGAGGTAGTAGATTTAAATGGTTACTAAAAAAATGAAAGTAGGAAAGTGGTAAATCTTATGACTGAAGAGTGAATATTCTGGCAGTCTTAGAATGAGTCAGAACCTAAATATAAGGATGTCGGTCCTTTCTAGTTCTGCCTTATGGAGCAGTGCTCCACATATCACCACTGTACGCTCTGGTTCTACCCCCACATCTTCCCACCTACTGTTGACAGCAGCAGAAATCATTCTTTGCTCACAATAAACATGAGGAGAAGCATCAGCAAGCTTCCCAAAACTGTAACATAATGTGCCTGAGGCTTTTTTTAGTTGCAAATTTGAAGGGATTCAGACCCACAGCTCCATTCATATGGATGTTTGTCATGGGTAAGCTCTAGGAATCTTTATCAGTACTCTTATTTAAATGGAGTGGTATAGAGGTGAGAGTATTGCTGAAGCAAGCAACCTGCAACTTCTTCAAGCTCAGAAGAGCTTCTGGGAGCTAGGAAGTCTGTTCTTTTAGACGCTACTAGAAATTTCCAAAATTGTGCAAATTAGCTGTAAATGACTGTCGAATACATTGTACAAAATTTCTTAAAAAGATGAACTAGGTATGAAGTCCCAGGTCTGCTTCTCCTTTATGACTGCAGGATCTTTGTCTGAGATTATTTCTTGCATCCCAGCTGCAATTGTTTGGCTTAACAGTGCTTTTCCCTCCTCTCTTGGCTTTTCAGATATTTCATTTCTCACAAACCAAACAAGACCTGGCAACAAGTATTCTGGTTTGCCATCAGCATTGCCATAAATAATGCCTACATCCTCTACAAAATGTCAGAGGCCTACCATGTGACAAGGTACAGCCGTGCACAGTTTGGTGAGAGACTTGTAAAGGAGCTTCTGGGTTTGGAAGACACCTCACCCTCCCATTGATGCATTGTTCCTGGTGGCGTAGGCAGGGGCTGAAGGGTAAGCAGAAGATACCACACCTGGAGCAGCAAAGCAAGGAACTTGTGACACCACCAGTGCTGTCATCCGAAAATGCCAAGTGATGCCACTAGAGAGGTGGAAACTTTGTTCTTAATAGCAGCTGGATGTAGACATGTCGTGCAGAAAGTGCCACTGGAAAAGCTGACACAAAATTGCATATGTGAATGCCCTGTGGGAATCTGTACACCCAAAAAAGACTTAAACTAGTTGTCATCTCAATACTATTTGTTGAACAGGGTCATCTTGTAAAGTTACTCGTGGGCCAAGACCTTGTCATAAGCTGGCATAGCTCAGCAGTCCTAGACAGGTATTATGGAAAACTCTATAGCGTACTTGGAGTTACTAAATTCTGGGACAAGCAATGTAAGTCTGCACCATGGGCTGTGGCTGGGAGTGCCTGCCATCCTGTAGGGCATCACTGCTGTCCTCCCAGTGTGATAAATGGAGCAGTTCAGATACATGAACACTGAAGCAAGCATATTGACAAACAAAACCTTCACAGGCAGGCAGCCAGGAACTGAGGACCAGTCATGATTTTTTCTTTCTGGGTTTTTTTTTCTTTTTCCTGGTTTTATTAATGTCACCTAAGGCAATTTGATCCCAGTTAGTACACAGAAAAATTAGGAGAAACCAAATACATTAGTAAATTTAAAATGAAAATACATTATATTGATTTTCTTTTTTAACCAGGACAAAACATTTTATACACAAACACACAGTGATTAATACTGTAAGTATTAAGAATGAGTAGACCATTAAGTAATACTGCCTCACATCTTAACTGCCACGGTCAGTGTACAGGTGAGAAATCAGAGTATAACATCTATATTTTTTCCTGATTTCAACTGTATCTTCAATGTTGCTTAAAAAGCTAATCTAATGGACTGTTAAGGTTTCTTGCTTTTTCCTTTGTAACTGTCAAGACTTTTTTGGTCCAGTTTAGAACTCCATTTGACACACAGTTGGCAAGAAAAAAATAAGTCACTAATAGCCGTGTGTTTCCCATTATCACTGTGGTGTGTTCTGTAGGAATTCTTTTTGTTAGAATTCAGGGCTTGTTACAGTAGTTGTAATTGAGCAGATTACATGTTGAGCAAAATAACATAGCATTGCGTTTTACAAAAAGAAGTCTAGTTGCAACCAGACCTTAAACCTCACTAAAACAGAGCAAGCCCAAAGAGTTCTTCTGTTCTTAGTAACACTGCAGAGGACAAGCATCGTCGTGAGCTGGTGACCAAGGCTGAAATGCCACATTTTGGTGCTGGTGGAATCTGAAGGCCGCTGGAGCTTCAGAAAACAATACCGAGAGACATAGGTATGACTGAAATGAGGGAGAATTGATACTGAAGTGAAATGCTGCCCTGCCCTCTACACTTTATTGATTTCAGTCCACAACTCAATCAGCAAAAAACTCTGTGTTCTAAAGGTTAGCAGTGACAAATACAAACAGAATTGCATTAACTTATGGGGCAGAAACCATGTTGCTTAGAGGACCACCTGGTTTTAGGTCCCCAAGCCTGAGAAGTTTTACCGAAGAATGACTTGAGTTGATTCAAGAAGAATGGAGGGATCAACTGATTTATTGATTTATGATTGTAAATCTCACCAGGTTATATGTATCTATCTGGCAAGAGGCAATAGAGGGTAACCAACATGAATTTGAAAACTCCTCAGATTTCATCATTATGCGATGTGCAAATGCACAGCATGTAAATAATAACAGAGAAAGAATCGAGTAGGGGTTAGTAAATTAATGACTAGCCTATAGAGTATCCTTGCACTGATACCTTTCTGTTTCCACCAAAGTCTTATTTTTTGGAGTAGACTTAGAGGCAGATTTCACCTGGTTGCAGGGAGAGTAAGGGAATGGCCAACTCCACAGTGATTCTGCTTGTAATACAGCCTGGAGCCTGTCCCACATGTCCTGCTCTGCCTGCTGGCTGCACAATGTACAAGAGCAAGATTCCTAAGCATCCCTTTTCGCTTCTCAGTCCAAAAGGTCTCCTCCCAGGAAACACGGGAGAAAGGACAAAACCTTGTGCACTGAGGCCTCCTAGCCTCAAAAGGAGGGAGAAGGTTTGTGCCACTCTAGTCCTCGGCAATGCCAAGCTGCATAGGAACCCAAGGATGAGTTCAGAACTTCTTAGCCTCACAGAGAACTGAGACCACCCCTCTTCAGACTGTGTGTGATAGCTGGTTATTGTCAGTCTTGTAAGTATTCAAACAGAGAGAGGAGCTAAGCTGAAGCATGAAAAACAAATGTTCAGCAATGTAAGCTCACAGTTTCCTTTATTCAGGAAATTTCACAGAGGTACCAAAAGGCAAATGGTGTTCTTATTGCTCCCTGCTTCAGACAATGCCAGCTGATATTGGATCAGGAAGAGTAGCTAATAGTTCATTATATCCCATAAATTTATATGGTAGTCAAAATTGGGGCAGTAAGGAGGTCTGGCTGGAACTTTGCTAATGGGATGGCTTGAATGAACAGTATCTGCTTCCTTGCATTCCCCTGCCATGCTGGAGCATTTGCAGGGTACCTAAACCCCCAGCAGAGATGGGACGGTTTGCAAGACCACCTCAGAGCCACTTGGCATTTCTGAGGAGTAGGCAGAGCACTCTCCAGCTGTATTGTGGGCCCCTGGGATAAACCTGGAGCCCTTGGCCAATTGTTAAATTACTATGTATGCTTAAAGGCCTGGATCTAGGCCACCCCATACAGAAAATGCCTTTTCTTTTTCAGGTGAAAGTAGGTCTGAGGCCTTGGAATATTTAATTTTTCACTAATGTATGCTGTTAATTATGTGGATTACTTGAGCTCAAATCATGAGGTCCTAGCTTTTTGCCTCAGGGACTGGGTCCTGAGTAGTTTTCCCTAGAATTGGTGTTGACGGGGGATTACACAGTGGCTGACTATTACAGGGAAGATGCTTTAGTCTCCTTTGTAAAGGAGAAAAATGAAAACAAAATTATAGCTTTGCAATGAATTTCATTTTCTTAGCCTTAACCATCCCTCATCATTTTGAACTGGTGTTCTAAACATGCACAAACATTCCATAAGTAAGCAAAAATATTTATATATATTTATATGTACAAAATGCTTGAATTTTGGCTCTTGAAGCCAACAAGCAAAAGTCACCAAAGCATAGCCTAGATCTACAGATGACTCTTCCCCTTCATCTTTTCTTTTTTTTGACTGGAAGTGGATAGGGTTGGGGAAAGTTAGGATTTCTGCTTGTTGAAAAAGCATCTTGCACTTTCTCTGTTACTATAAACAAGGCAAAGTAATTAA